ACATTACCGTACATCTACCGTACATCTACCGTACATTACCGTACATTACCGTACATCTACTGTACATATAGCCTCTTGTTCATCAGGGTGCACCGCGTTTTTTGGGCACCGGCCACAACTTTTTGGACGGACCACCGCGATCAAAATTTTGGACGGACCACCGCCATCAACTTTTTTGGACGGACCACCGCCTTCAATTTTTTGGACGGACCATCGCCTTCAATTTTTTGGACGGACCACCGCCCAGCGTGTTCCTAACACACAGATGTAGGTCATTGTGTGTGTTCTGTTTTTCTTATGCGTTTTGATGGTTTAAAGTAGAAAGTGTTTTTCTTTTAGCGCGGCGGTGGTCCACCGAAGAAATTCGAAGCGCATTTTTTGCTTTTTTTGTTTTGCTTTTTGCTTTTCTTCAGCAAAGCGGCGCGGTGAGTGTTCTACATTAAAAACCCTTGCAACAGCAGCGCTTTCCCAGGTAAAAAGCATAGTTTTTCGATGTCCTTCGGTTTGGGCCTTGCTACTGGGAAACCTGAAAAAACATAGTTTTTGAACATCAAAAATCACCAATTAGAACTTATAGAACTTAAAAATAGTTACATTTAAGTTACATCTTACTTACGAACCGGCTAACTTAGCTTTAAGTAATTTGTAACTTCACCAAGTAAGTTACAAGTGTATTAACTAGGGGGGCCCATCTTTGTACTTGGCACCGAGGAAACCCAAATCAAGACGATGCGGTTCGCGAGCAGCATCGGAAGTCGAACTCTCTCCCGGCTGGTGAGCACTCCACCGTTCCCGAACCGGAACCGTTCCTGTTCTGGAGTGCGACGGATCAAGCTTTGGACATAGGAGGGTGCCCGTTGTAGTGCTTCTTCTGTATGTTTGATCCATGCAACACCAGCACACGAGCGGTTGCAAGCGCTGTCCAGGGCTGCCTGCAGCAACTTGTCGTGGGAGATCTGGGGGTTGTTGTTCGAGTTGAGGGATTGAAGGACCTCTGACAGCCGTTCAATCCCGCAAACTTCATGCTCGTGAAGTTGATGCTCACTCAAAACCACCTCATGTACTTCAGGGGGTCCATCATCAAAGGTCACCTCAGGAACTGGGGGCAACAGGTCAACGATGTTGGCTTCCGAAACATGGGACTCCGAAGGACGTTTGCCGGCGCTGAAAGCTGACTGCAGTCGACCCTTTTTGCCACCTTTGCCCTTGCTGTTGCTGGTGCCACTATGGCCAGGTCCAGGGCATTCTGGGTCTCCTTTCCAATGGCCTTCTCGGCCACAAACATGGCATGTGCCTTGCTTAGCTGCTTTCTTGGGATCTTGCGATCCAGGGGCTGGTCCACGAAAGCCCCGATCTTTTCGCATTGCTGCGATCTGTGTTCGGGCTTCTCGAAGTGTGACGAGAGCCTCAACTGCACCTTCCAACTGTTCCTCAAGAGCGTCAAGCTCCTGAGAATCGCAGCCTTCCTTCGCGGCTGCTTCCAACTCTGAAGCCAGCACTTCCACTTCATCTTGAAGTCCTTGCAAAGCGTCGGCCTCAGGCATCTCTGCTTGCATGTCCTCTTCTCCCATGGCCTCCATGGCCTCAAACTCACCATCTTGGTCCTCATAGTCGGGGTCTTGAGCTTCAGTCACGTTCACCGCTGAGGCGCCCAGTCCCATTCGGGAGGAGGAACCTCGGGAAAACGATGAGGAAGCCGACACGGTCGTCGATGAAGAGGACATAGGTCGGCGCCAGCCACCCTTGCCTGAGCCAGGTGGTCGAAAAGGTGCCTTTCGCAGAGACGCTATGGAACCTTGGTTGGAGGGCTGAGCATGGCCACCAATCATGTGGATCCTCTTGAACAGCCTGACTGCTTCACGTTCGCAGTCAGCATACGTCTCATCGGTGGAGCTCAGCGTGGTCTCCAGCAACTGCTTCTGGACCTCATTGAGGACAAGCTTTTGCTTGTAGAACCAGGCTGATTCTGCATCATCCAAAGTGATGCCTTCAGCCCTCATCTCGGCGACCAGTGTGCGATACCTCAAGCTGAAGGTCATCACAGCCTCAGTTGGAGAGCGCCTCAATGTCATGTAGAATCGTTCTCGAAGCTCTCCTTTCTTATCGCTCACTGTTCTGCCCACCATTTGCTCCCAGGCATCAATCAGCTTCCACACACCCACCGTGTAGTCAGCCGCCTGGATGATGATCTTCTCGCCCTCTTTGTCGGGGTCATCAACGCTCTCTTCAGGGAGGTATGCCAAATCCTCTGGAGAGAACTCCTGGGCACGAAGACGGGCCGATCCACGCTGCTTCATTGCGAAGCGTGCTGCCAAGTTGAAGAATTTCGTCTTCGTGAGGTCGATGCTTGAGAGCCACCATGTGACAGTCCTGCGAAGCTCTCTCAAGCTGTCCGGCCTTCCATCCCAGACTGGGATGCTGGCATCGAAGCCGGACTCCGACCATCCACTGGCATACCCATAGCTCTTATCCTTCTCCTCCACCATCATGCAAAGAGCTCGACCTTCAGGTCGTAGGAGAAGAAGATGTCCTCTGCTCGATGTCGGGGCCGAGCTGACCTTTCCGAGGCGACCCTCAAGCGTCTGCTTGAAGAGGAAGGAGGCAACAAAGAAAGCCGAAGGTCACCACCGAGAAAAAGGTCCAAGGCCCAGGGGGGCTCAACCACAAAGGTCCGCAAGCACGTCCAGCTCCGCGCAACCACTATGGAAGGCTGGGGGATGTCACGACCGAACGAGGCGGGGCCGTGAGGTTTCCTGCCAACCTCCGCGCTTTTCTCGCGCCAAACAGCTCAAGGCCTTTCGGCCAGGTGAACAAACATGAAACACCTGTCATGAGCTCAACCGTCCAAAGGTCATGGGGTGCATGTTTCACGTTTCTCAAATCATCTCAACCTTGAATCGATCATCCGGGATTAAAAATAAATATAAGATCTAGATAGATCTAGAAAGATTGGTACAGTTGTCTAAATGCATCACGTGATATATCATAACCAGGACCCACAGCCATTGGAACAAACTCCAACATCTGAGCCATTTCAGGCACTCCCAATAAGAAGATGGTAGGCGCCAATGATTCTCCCATTCCCAAGCTCGGATTGCAAATCCTGTTTCAAGAGGGTCCAACCCACTACCTATTCAACACCACACCCCACATCTACTGCCGACATCAGCATCTCTGAACATCCGCGCCGACCTCGTCACGGTGGCATGCCTTTCTCCAGGGATCATGGGGTCCAACCTGATTTCATCCCCAGATTCTCCCGAGGTGCTCACCAAGAAGGCCGCATTCCGCATCCTGTGGAAGACCCGGGGCTTGTCGCTCTTCTCCTCGTGGCTATCCCAGACCTCACCCGCCTGGCGCAAGTAGTGTGGCGGTGCCAAGCACCACTGCCGGGAAGGTGGGAGGAAGACAAGGAGGAGGAGAGGGGATGTGGGGAGAGACGGGGGGTGATGGGTAAGTTTTTTGCCAGAAGTGGCAGTTGGTGTTGTCTTTTGACTTCACGCTCAAAAATTGAGGTGGCGGCAAGCTGTACTACCTGCCCGTTTTGGGGGGCTTTGATCCAAAAGGTCTTTGGTTCGGGCCTTTTCCTTGGGTCAATCGGGTCCGAGACCATCGCCATTGGGATTGGCGATGATCTCTTTGGGGAGTCCCGATATAGCTCTGATTTTGTGCCACACTCTCCAGTACAAATAGAACATGGAACCATCCACAAACAGAAAACAGAAAGGATTGCTTGACATCATCAGTTGTGCATTGCTTCGGGTCAGGGCCAGCCACAGTTGTAGACAAGATCCATAAGGCTGAGGGAAGCAAAAGGTGGGAGTGCCTTTGAGAATTCAAGGACCAAAAGGCACCTCAATTCCAACTCTAAATTACAAACTATATCATGTCTCAATTCCACACATCATTGAAGGTGCTTCCACTTCCAATGTTTCACTTTGATGGCAAGCGTTGCAAGATGTGCCCCAGCACATCTGTGGTTTCTGTGCTATCCAAGATGGGAATAGATCTTGGCCGGGACCTGCTGAATGCTCGGGTTGATGATCACTGATGATCCGGTTGATGATTTTCCGGTTGATGATGACTGATCAGCAAGGGATTCATCCAATGACCAGCAAAAAGGACGGTCAAACTGGACGGATCTCCGCCGCAGTGGAGACTGCTTGGTCAACAATGCCACATAAACCCATTTGGACCATCTGTTACAGTGTATATACAGTATACCTAATTCATTGTGAGCCACAAATGGATAGATCCAACAATTTCTTGAAGCCTTCGTTTCATTGAGTTTCATTCGCTATTTGGGGACCACTCAAAATCGGGCATCATGCCCTTCCACTTTGAGCTGACCTGGACCCGAGGTTCTGTCCTTGGAGTCCCTGCTTACGGGTTTAACCTTTAATACATGCTTCATTACAAACCAATCAGGCCTTGGACCGATCATGACTGACACCGAGAGCTCCGGCCCCGGAGCTTGTCTTCGTTCATCTTCGAGGTACCAAGCTGGACTCCAACTTCGAGGAGCTCAGCGTATCTTTGGCCATGCTCCTTGGATGAACCGTGCTGCGACACGTCTCAGCGTCATTTGGCACAGCTGGCTGCTGCTTTTTGCCGTGTCTCTGTCTTTGGACCATTGCCTTATGAAATCTTAGTTCAGCTGCAGCACGGGACAACATTGATTGATTGGTCACCGTGACCCCCATGGGAGGGAGTGTCGAAGGATAATACAATGTAGTTTAGTTACATGTATTGTAACTAGTTACGGCATGAGTATGGTGCCGGGTTGTTCATTTTTGCACTACCTTACGGCAAACCTTCTAAAAACTGTACGAACATCAGGTCAGACCATCCTTCTGAAACATTGTTTGCCAACATTTGTTGACGCTTGAATGAACCTCAACTGAACAAACTAACCAGAATGCTGCTTATGTGAACCGTAGTTCACACACTGCGAGTCACTCTGGCTGCATGAAGACCGACATCATGAGACCCAGCAAGTTCCTAGTAGCGATTCCCTTTGCTACTAGTAGCATTCTTGCTCCTAGTAGTAGGGTGAGGAGCCCCGTTCGTAGCGTCCTTGCTCCGTTCGTAGCGATGCCAGGAGCCCCGTTCGTAGCATTGCTCCCCAAACACCGTTGGGTCCGATAGATTCTCCCATGGCCGGTCCGACAGGACCACGGTGACCAGATGGTCGACCCTGGCCGATCTGATGATCTGAAGATCCCCACTTCTCCATGCAGGTGATAGGTATCTGACGAATGGAACCACCCAAAGGGTGGTTTATAGACCCCCCTGAAGATGTTTTTTCCATCTAATAACCACCCTTTGGGTGGTGCTGGTATATAACTATGTAGTCTCAACACGTTTCCTAATGAGTCGGAAGAACCACCTTCTGCTAAAATCGACCTTTTGGATGTCCAAGAGCTCTCATGACGACGCATGCACGGTCTTGCATGGGGTACGTATACCTGTTTTTGGGTGTTTGCGGTGCACATACCGAAAAGCCCTCTCAAAACCCCTGAAATCGCCCTCTGTTGGGGGTCTGATCTGCATTTTGGGTCTCTCAATCGCCCTCTCACGGGCCGTGTAGGAGACACACGCCTACCTGCACCCAAGGCGCTTGCTGCCCGCCGCGTTGGGCGTGGTGTAGAGCGGCTGGCGGCGTGGTCCGTTGTGTGCCTCGCTGGATGTCTCAGCGCTTCTCATGGTCAGCTCCCGCTTCAGCAAATCCCCCATCTTCTTCACCTGGCTTGCATCGGCGCCAGGGCAAATCCGTCTCCTCAGCGTTCGGATGTAAGAGACTCGTCTGTTCAAAGCGTGCCATACCGGATTTGTGGACGTCTGCACGGACATACATGGCTAAGGGCCAAGGGTGATGTATCACGAAGTTGCTGAGAAACCAAGTATCTCCGAACATCTCCGAACCAGGCTGCTTGCCCAAGGCCTTTTTGAGGTCTGGTCCGGTATGGTGTACTAGGTGGTCCCTGTACTATTTCTTTCCATTGCCATCAACATTGTTGCCATAGTGGCATTGATGTCATTGCTGGCCATGTGATGGTGGCTTGTCAATGATGTTGTGATGTTTTTTGTTGTTGGGTCCGATCGAATGGTTCGGCGCACAGTACAGATGTCAAATACCCTTGTATATTAATCATGCAAATCGGGGTTCGGGAGTCGTTTTTCATGGTGTACGCAGGGTTTTGTGACTGTGCCCAAGCCATCAGATCGGGATGGGTGCACGGGTTATACTGCTTGTCATCAGATTCATAGAACTGGTCATCGGATTCATAATTAACTTGTCATCGGGTTCATAGAACTTGTCATCGCATTCATAGAACTTGTCATCGGATTCATAGAACTTGTGAGCGGAATCATAGAACGTCGTTGATGAGTCGTGTGTTTAAAATACGTGGGGGGCTTGGGGGGGATGGCAGTGGCAAGAAAATTTTGCGTCGGAAAGATGGGAAGTCATCCTGATGTCTATCTTCAGATAGACAGTGACAAAGAGAATTCGTCGCTCTTCGTGTGAAAGTGTGAAATGCTGTGGGCAGCAGCGAAAAATAGGCTTGACACTCCATTTACAAGCTGTGTTCAATCATGAAACACGCGCCGAACCACCAGATGGGCGCGTTGTTGTTGCTGTTGTTATAGTGACGGCGTCGTTGTCCCTACTTGAGGCGTGTTGCTTGTCGTTGATGCTGCCCCGATGGCAGTGCATGGCTGTGCATGTTGCAGTTCTTGCGGCTAAACTATCGGCACATTCCTTTGGTGTATTTGCTTCATTACCATGTGTGCGGTAGCGATACCAGGTCGCTGGACCCTTTCATATATATATATAAACGTCGGTCGCTGCGCGATGTGGAGCCATGGACAAAACACACCTGCAGTTCTTCACGGGTCGCATGGGGCTCGTGAATTCCCATTTAGGGCCTTGCAATCCGCACTAGATGGGGCTGAACGTATATATTTATATATACATTATATATATACATTATATATATACATTATATATATACAAGTGGTCCACTGGTGCTGCATGGCTATAGGTGTTTTCCAATTGTCGTTCACCTGGCCACGCACACACACACACACACAAATAGTTGAATGCACTGTAACAAAATGTAACAATTAAACACAAATATATGTGTTTGCTCGATGAACTGTTATAAAAAGTCGCTGTAATATCAACAATAACACAAAAACATCATAAACCAATCCAAGTCGTCAGTGATTGATCAAGAGCTGTCCGTGGCGATGGTACTTGCACCTTCTCCGCTTTTGGCTCAATGCCAATCTTCAACGGCTTGATCGAGCTACTGATACTCCGTCGCAAGGACGGCTTCTCCTCCGACCCAATGGAAGGCAGCAATGGGACCTGGCAGGTGATAGATGATGTGTGTGTGGATTGGCTGGATCAGCATGTCATGTCCCCACCGGCAGGTGAAGAAAACGGGTATTTTGGAAAATACATTAAAATACAGATACAGTAAATATATTTCCCCCAGAAGCCCCAGTCAAGGCCAATTACCACCCTCTACTACAAAAACCATGCGGCATGTGGGGACCGAACAGCTGATCACGGCAGGGCTGTTTGTTTGGTGCTACCGGTGGCGACTCATCCCCTCTTGTCTTTGGGTCTCTTGTCCCTTAATCTGTTCAAAGAAAACGTGAGAGATGGGACTCCTAAGGCTTGCAAATAACACATCAAAACATCAAAGAGGTCATGAGCAGGTTCTTGGGGAACCAACAAACTTAAAGTTTTTGTTTTTTTCCTGGTCTTCTGGTGTACTGGTTGTTGAGTCTTGTTTCACCTGGACACCCAGTACAGTTGGGTGAATTGATGTTTGGACATTCGAGGACTTTTTAGATGAGTGATGCATCTCAATGAGTCACTCATTGAAGGATCCTCTTCTTATCCAGTCTGCATGTCCTCTTTCCGCAGCCATTACAGTATGTGGAACTACTCTAAGGAAAGTGAGAAACTTAACTAAACTAGTGCATCCAAGAATAGTTAAATATATTGTAGCTGACTTAAAGCTATCTGAGCACATATTCTAGGAAACGGTAACTCTATCTAACCAACATGATGCTGGAATCCTGTCACCTGCACTCTATCCAAACCAGTCCCAGGCACACTCTGCGAAAAGGCTGAGTTTTGAAAGGCCAAGACCTTGTTGCCCCGCTGCCGTCTATAGCTGCTGCCCACTCGTGCCATGGAGGAGGGATTCGAGGGGAACAAAACGCGTAAGATGCGATGCACCGACTCCTCAGTGATCTCCAAGTCCGTGAGTGCTTGCCTCAGAGGTTCTCGGCTCACTTTTCGCGGCCGATGGTCTGCAGATTATGGGGCAATCTGTGCAAAACAACTCTGAAAGAAGGTAGGGGCTGAGGCTCCAGTTAGCCGTCCAAGAGCTGACCTTGGAGTTCTGAGGTCGGAGGACTTGCCGTCCAACCCCATCTATCACATGATGGGTTGGAGATGTTTGGAGGTTCTCAGAGTTTTGGTGATTCTGTCTATCAAGTTTCGTGAGGACATGCGAAATAACTCTGGAAGCGTCAAAGCCAAAATAGTGATGGTTGGGGAAGCCCATAAGTGTCCACAACACAGTGTTTTTTGAAAAAGCGTCATCTGAACGCTTATGGAGTCCCCTGCATTTCCATGCTCCTTATGGAGGCCTCTCCCACACTCCCAAATGTCATATTTTTTTCAGAGTGCAGTCCCTGCAGCGCTCTTCACTGCTTTTTGTTTGCTGTATTAGCTCTATCTAGCTGTATCTCCAAAATCGGCTCCACGATCATTGCGATGTGGTTTGGCACACGCTTCTGCCATCATTATGGCTCATGGCGGGAGTTGCTATTTAAAGAAACATATTATTGCCTATTCAATGGGGTCCATGATTAATGTTCATGAATACATTCAGGCCAAAAGATTGGTTAGTGTCAGTGTCCACAACATGTGTGGGAGTGTTTGTAAAGCACGTGCAAAAGGCTTTTCACCAGCTTCACATCCTTGAACAGCGGGCCATGCATCATGCAAACGACTGGTCGGTCTGTTTGCCTCCAACAAATCATATATAAGATGTGACAACTGCGTAACTGCTGGTTGCCCGGCAACTGCGCTTTCGCAAGGTTTGGAACAGCAATGTCAGAGTGGCCAACAACAATGATAAAGAAAACAAACACAAGGTTTTGAACATGAACAGTAAGCAAAGGGTTGTTGAGTCCTGGGTTGCCTGATTGCTGCCCAATGACATGTAAAACCGATATGCGAAGAACTTGTGGCACGGTCCCCGGCGCTGAGACAATGCTTGCTTTTGACACGGAAGCACCGGCTCAGTGGCCTTTGAAGTCTTCCAAATCTCCCCGGGTCCCCATTATTGACGCAGTCGTGGCAATGGATAGGTTATCCCACCACTGCTCTGCTGACCGACCCACAAACACTACACTGACAAAAGTGAGACTCTTCTCAGCTACTTCCTCGACCTTTTCTTCGGAGCCGGTGTCGTAGCAACGTGAGAGTCTTCTTTGGACAGGCCATGTTTCCTCCCTGCTTTGGAGTCAGTGGCAGCAGCAGGCTTGTCCTCTTCTGGGTTTTTGCGCAGCTTCTTCAACTTTCCCTGGTCGGTCAGCTGTGGTCCAGGGTCCTCTGTGTATTTGAGGTTTCTTTTAAGTTTGAAGTTTGAAGACAAGTGTTGTCATCACCAATTACACTAATCTTCCAAAATATTTGCTTAAAATTCAAAGGAGTCAACACAATGTGTTTATAGTAATACTGTCGCACCGTACTCACTACTGTATTAGTATAGTAAAGTAGTATAGCCGAATGGCGTATGGCAACCAGAGTCCCGAACACCACAGTCGACAGTCTGTCAGTCGTCAATCGTCCTTAGTTTGGTGAATAGTGAATAGTGAATACTTACCAATGTTGATGCAAAATTGGGGGTGAACTTAACGCCTTAAACGCTAATTGAAACCTAGTGTCAAAACCCTCTGGTATCTCAAAACCTCCAGCCAATTTCCAAATAGAATTCCCAATAGAATAGTATATGAGTCATGTGTCCTTGTCCAGTGTCATCGCCTCATTCACGTCTGATCCTGCAGCTGACATTCCAGGGAAGAACGAATCGAGGGACTGACTCATCTGTGCTGCCCTTGCTGCCTTGCTCTTCTTTGATTCCTTGGGTTTTGTATCTGCTTGGCTTGCAGCCGCAGAAGTTGCCGCAGATTCGCTTGCCAAAGGTGTGTTTGGCTGTTGGGTAAGGTGGGTATCCTTTGCTTCTGCTTCGGACAGTTGGGTCTTTGCCAGTGCGTCTGCCGGAAGTGAGGATTCTGAAGCGTTTGCTGCCTGCTGGAGTTCTTCAGTAGCTGTGTGTTGTGGCTCTTCTGGTGGTGCTTCTGGAGCTTCTGCTGCCGGCTCAGGCTCACTTGTTTTGTCTTCGCTTGCTGGTTGTAATGCCGTGCTTTG